GAGGTGCTGGAGGTGCTGGTGCTGGTGGCACTGCACAGCCGCGCCTGTTCTTCGCTCCGCCGTCTCCGTCGTCTCAGCCACCGCCTGACTCTGTGCTTCGCCAGGTTCTTAGTCTATCGTCGTCTACTGGACTTCCGTTACAGCCTGGCTCACCACGACCTGCTCCTTCTCCTTACACTGAGCAGACTGGGGGTCTTGCTGAGCGTCGTGAGCCTGCGTCGCATCCTGTCTCGCCTGTCCCCTCTGGTCGTTCCGGTCGTCGTGTTCCTCGTCCGCGTCAGCCGGCTGTCCCCGGCACACACCTCGTAGTCCGTCGTCCTTCCTCTGCTCCGCAGTCTGTTCCTCTGCCGTCTCCCCCTACGTCCTCTCTGCCTGACGTTCCGGACCCTGAGTCTGACCGGTTTCGTGCTGAGCACCCTACTGTCACGCGTCTGCTAGCCACTGTTGTCACTGACCCGTTGTTTGAGTCTGCTGCTGCGTCTGCCTTGGTCGCTGAGCTTGTTGACTTTGCTGCTGCCTGTCGTCTAGACTATGCTGCTAGCCTTGTTGCTGAGTCTGAGTCTGTCTGTCCTCCGTCCGTCGGGGGTGAGTGTGCTCTTAGCACGGACGTCTTTGAGGACAGGCAGGAGGACCTTGAGTGTCTTGCAGCCGCTGCGCCTCATCTCGTGGCCATGCTGCTTGCCCCTGAGGGAGACCCGGATGCTCTAGACATCCCGACCCCGCGCTCTTACGCTGAGGCGATCGCGGGTGAGTACTCCTCTCAGTGGCAGGCAGCCATGGACGCAGAGATGGCATCCTGGAAGTCCACACGCACCTACGTCCATAAAGGTTCTCCCTCCCGGGGTGAACATCGTCGATGGCATGTGGATTTTCAGGGTGAAGCGGCCGCCGGGTTCTCCGCCTGTCTTCAAGGCTCGTTACGTTGCTCGAGGCTTCAGTCAGCGAGAAGGAGTTGACTTCTTCCAGACCTTCTCCCCCACCCCGAAGATGACCACTCTTCGGGTGCTGCTGCACGTTGCCGCTCAGCGTGACTACGAGCTTCACTCACTTGACTTCAGCACAGCCTTCTTACAGGGCAGCCTGCACGAGGAGATCTGGCTGCGCCGCCCACCTGGCTTCACTGGGTCGTTCTCTCCTGGTAATTAGTGGAGCCCCCAGCAGCCAGTCTACTGTCTTCGCCAGGCGCCTCGTGAGTGGCACGACACACTGAGGACTACACTTGCGGCTCTTAGGTTTGCTCCTTCGACTGCTGACCCGTCGTTGTTTCTGCGCACCGACACTTCGCTGCCGCCATTCTATATCCTCGTGTACGTCGACGACTTGGTCTTTGCCACTGCTGACACTGAGGCTCTCGCCCTGGTGAAGTCGGAGCTGCAGAAGAGACATACGTGCACAGACCTAGGTGAGCTGCGCAGCTACCTTGGCTTGCACATCACCCGGGACAGAGCACGCCGCACCATCACTCTGACTCAGTCATACATGGTGCAGCAGGTCCTTCAGCGCTTCACCTGGTCCTCGCCACAGTCCACTCCTTTGGCTACAGGTCACTCGCTCTCAGCTCCACCTTCGGACGAGTCCGTAGAGCCGAGTGGTCCTTACCCAGAGTTAGTGGGCTGCCTCATGTACCTGATGACCTGCACTCGTCCTTACGTGGCTCCTGGTCGGCACCGAAAGGTGCACTAGGATGCTGCGAAGAGGGTACTGCGCTACTTGTGCAGTACATCGGGCATGGGGCTCGTGCTTGGAGGGCGGAGAGACGTGGTCCTCACTGGGCACTCAGACGCTTCTTGGGTTGACGACCTGGCTACGCAGCGGTCGTCACAGGGTTACACTTTCAGCCTTGGTTCCGGCTCTGTTTCTTGGCATTCTACTCGCTCGTCTTCTATTCTCAGCTCCAGTTGTGAGGCTGAGATCTACGCCACAGCCATGGCTGCTCAGGAGTTACGCTGGCTTACCTACCTGCTGACCGACTTGGGAGAGAGGCCTCGTTCTCCTCCAGTTCTGTACGTCGACAACAAGGCCGAGGAGCACAGACTGGAGCACAGAACGAAGCACATCGCTCTACGTTACTTCCTGGCTCGAGAGTTGCAGCAGCGGGGTCAGCTTCGCCTTGCTCACGTGGCCACTCGGGCCAACATTGCTGATATATTCACCAAGGCACTTCCGTCTTGTGATCATCAGCGCTTTTGTACTTTGTTGGGCCTTGTGCCTACGTTTCCACACTTGCTGTAGACTCTGCCTGTACTGTGATCTTTATATATATATACCTGCATGCTTGCTCTTGCTAGGTAGAGATCACTGTGCTGTTCTTGTTGCATATATACCTCTGCATGTGGACTGGCCTTGTGGCCCTTTGCTTGTGCTCAGTGTGTGTGGTGACGTTGTGATCCACCCTGAGCTTGCTTTACTTTTCTTGACTGGTCTTGTGACCCCTTGCTCTCCCCCACTTTGCCTGTGGGGGCGTGTAAAACATATGCATATATTATATTTGTGGGTAGGCTGTATTGGGGTAGACAATGTGGGGTACAACCCCTTAGGGTTTGCTCCTTGTACCAAACTCACTCGATACTTGATCCATTCACCCTTAGCTTCTTAGAAACCTGCCACACCTATTTGTACTCTTAGTGCTCCTTGTGAACATAGTCGATGGCATGTGTATCTTCAGTGTGAAGCGGTCATCGGGTTCTCCGCTTGTCTTCAGGGCGCGTTACGTTGCCCGAGGCTTTAGTCAGCGGCAAGGGGCTAACTTCTTCCATACCTTCTCCCCTACCCCAAAGATGACCACTCTTTGAGGGTTACTACACGTTGTAGCGCAGCGTGACTATGAGTTGCACTTGCTTGACTTCTCCACGGCTTTCTTGCAGGGCAGCCTTCACGAGGAGATCTGGCTGCGCCGCCCACCTAGCTTCACTGGGTCGTTTCCTGAGGGTACCCAGTGAAGCCTTTGACGGCCAGTCTCCAGTCTCCACTAGGCGCCCCACAAGTAGCACGACGCACTGAGGATGAGGCTTGCGGCTCTTGTTTTTGCTCTTTTGACTGCTGACTCGCCGTTGTTTCTGCGCTACGAACCTTCTCTGTCGTTGTTCTACATCACCGTGTTTGTCAATGACTTGGTCTTTGCGACTGCTGACACTAAGGCATTGGCCCATGTGAAAGCAAAGCTGCAGAAGGGACACACCTGCACTGACCTGGGTGAGCTGCGCAGCTATCTTGGCTTGCAGATCACCCGGGACAAAGCAGCGTGACCATCACTATGACTCAGTCACACATGGTGGAGCAGGTCCTTCAGCGCTTCCGCTTTCAGTTCTCCTCGCCACAGCCCACTCCTCTGCCTACGAGCCACTCGCTCTCAGCTCCACCTTCGGACGAGTCCGTAGAGCCGAGCGGTCCGTCTCCAGAGCTTGTCGGCTACCTAAGGTACCTGATGACTTGCACTTGACCTGACCTCGCGTACCCTCTCAGCATTCTGGTGCGCTTCGTTGCGCCCAGGAAGGACCGCCCTGAGCAATTCCGGGCTGTGTAGAGGGTACTGCGCTACTTGTGCAGTACATCAAGCATGGGGCTTGTGCTTGGAGGATGGGGTCGAATTGAGCTCACTAGACACTCAGACGCTTCAAGGGCCGACGACCAGGAGACTCGGCAGTCGTGACAGGGTTACACTTTCAGTCTCGGCACAGGTCCTGTCTCCTGAAGGTCGACCTGCTCATCTTCTGTACTTAGTTTCAGCTGCGAGGCCGAAATCTACGCTGGGGCTATGGCTGCACAGGAGTTACGTTGGTAACTGACTTTGGTGAGCGGCTTCGTTCTCCTCAGGTTCTGTATGTCGAGAACAAGGCCATGATTGCCTTGTTTCGGGAGCAAAGACTAGAGCACAGAACGAAGCACATTGCTCTTCACTAATTTCTTGCGCGAGAGTTGCAGGAGCGTGGTCAGCTTTGAATTGCTTACGTGGCGTCACAGACACACTGCTGATATCTTCACCAAGGCCCTTGGGCCAGGTGATCATCAGCATTTTTGCATTGCTCTAGGGCTTGTGCCCACTTTGCCTCACTTGCTTGTCTCTTGATCTCACCTTGCCTTTGTTGTACACTGTTATAGATATTTATACATGCATGTTTAGACTTGCTAGGTTGTGATCAATGGACTGCTTTTGTTAATATAACTCTGAATGTGAACTGCCGTTGTGGCCGCTTGCTTGTGTTCGAACTGTGTGGTGATTTTGAGACCATCCTGAGCTTTGCTTTGCTTCTTCTCTTGACTGGTCTTGTGACCATTTGTTTTTGGGTCTGAAAATGATACCGGTAAGACCCCCTACCACTTTTTTTCTGTAGATTTCGTAAGACCCTAGGGTCTTAAATCCAGGTGATTATGGTAATTCTTGTTGAGGAATTGCACAGCTTACTGCTGGCAGTATCATGTTACGCTATCGTCACTTGTTGATTTTGAGAATGCAAATGCAAGGAGACACTGTTACAAAAAGCTACACTTGTTGAATAGATTGTAACAGGAAGCACTCTATAATGCATACTCAACTTTACAAGCACTTAACATACAAGGGTATGAACAAACATGGCCCTTGGCACTCCATCTGCCCATCTGCTCCCTGCATTCCTCCCCGCTGCTCCGTGCAAGCAGCATCCCTTGCACTGGCACTGGCACGGGGTCAGTCAAACCCCCCTGTGGCATGACAAGACACCACTCCAGTCGCAGGGGGGCAGTGAAGAGGTGGGGTCTGCACTTCAAAGAGACACGCAAGTAAAACCTGCAAGCAACTATGTGCAACACAGCGACACATCCAATCCTAGTGTGTGGGGGTGAGAAGGGGAAGAAAGGGGCGGGCGTAGGTGAAGAAGGGGGAGGTAGTGGGTGGGGAAGTGGAGGCGGTGGGTAGGAGCGCTGGAAAAGAGGATGGGTCTGCAATCGAGCGGCATGGTGTCGAGCGGGAAGTAAGGGCACTTGAAGGGGCAGCAGGGTGGTCAAGGGAGCAGGGTTGAAGCACCCTAAAACTGGATGGGGCGGCAGTCAAGCGGGGTGGTTTCCAGCGGGCAGTAGGGGCACTTGAAGGGACGGGTGGCGCCCTTGGCGAGCTTCAGCACGGACGCACGGCACACGACGTGGCCACAGGGAAGCAGCACGGGTGGGTTGTCGGGGTAGGAGGCGGGCTCACGGGAGACGGGGCAGGCGAAGATGGAGTGGAAGTGGAAGGCGCGGGGCAGCTCGATCTCCACTGGCAGCTGCTCCATGCCCTGCCAGTCCCGCACCGCCCTCCTGCTGCTGCCCGTGCCACCACCAGCAGCAGCAGCAGCAGCAGAAGTGCCAGGCGCAGTGATATTGCTGGCAGCAGTGGCAGGAGTCGTGGAGCTTCCGCCTGCCCGGCTGCTCCCTCCCCCGCTGCCGATACCGCTGCTGTGGTTCAGCAGGGCGGCGAGCTTTGTCAGCATTGGGAGGGCCTCGCCGCCCGCAGCCACTACGACGGCCAATGGGCTTTCGGCGGATTCGAGGCACTCCACGGCGCAGTAGTCTGCGGTGAACCGGGCGGCGATCTGATCCCAGTGGGCGGCAGTGAGTGGCAGGAGGTCGGCATATGGGGACAAATTCAGCCGCCCAATCCACAGGAGAGCGCACATGAGGCGTTGGATATCAGGGAGATGGGTGGCGGCGAACGGCGGGAAATGCTGACGCGCGTACAGGAGGGCTGGTGAGCTGGCGGGTCGTGATTGGCTGCTGCTATCATCAATGGCAGGATCAGACATGGAAAACGGGCCTTCGTTCTGCTGCTGCTGTTGCTTCCATATAAGCTGTTTCTGCTGCTCCTGTAGAAGATTTAGAAACTGCAGTTGATGAATTTCAAACTCCAAGGAGCTTGTCTTCAGCCCTCCAACCAGCGCCTTCCCTCCCCCTTCCCCCCCTCCCACCTTCACGTCTGGAAACCCCCCAGCAACTTCCCGCTGTAGCTCCTCCCGATGCTGCGCCGCCCAAGCCAGCGCCGGACCTAGGTCCTTAACTCGGATGGCGTGCAGAATGGCGTGCATAGCGCCGTACCTGCGCTGGTGCTCCTGCAGGCTCACTCCCTCGCCCACTCCCCAAACTCCGCCCTTCCCCTCCGCCGCTGCCACAGCTGCTGCGCCCCCCTGCGCGCCCACCACTCCCCCATCCTTTCCCCTCGCCTCTCCCCCCGCCCTGGCCTCTGCGCCCCCTCCCCCAGCGCCAGTGCCAGAGGCCATTCTTCTCCGCGCTGACCATGACAGGCGCGCCATTCCGCCCCGCCCAGCCACGCTTTCCCCCCACAGCCCCCCGCCCCTCTCCCCCGCAATCCCCCCCACACTGCCGCTCCCCGCCCTGCCGCTACTCCCCCTTTCTATGTCCGCCTCCGTCCCTGCGCCTCCCACCACCTCCATCCGCTCGTCCCCCTTCCCCTCTTCCTCCATCGCCTCCCCCTCCTCCCCATCCTCCTCCCCATCCCGCACCTCCCCTTCCTCCGCTTCCTCCTCCCGCTCCCCTTCCGTCCCTCCCTCCGCGCCCCCCAGCCCCGCCTCCGCCACGAGTGCGTCCCCCACGGCGAACAGCCCCTGGCGGAACAGATGCTTCGCGATCTCGCGGTGCACTATAACGGGATCAAACTGTACGGCCTCTCTATAAGCACCTCCGATATCAGCAACGAACGTGCCCTTCTCTCTCTCCCGCTCCACCGCCTTGCTCAGCCGCGCCACGGCCCCGTGCAGTTCCTTATGCAGCGCTGCTATCTCCTTTTCCGGACCTAGGCTACCGAGCCTGGACAGAAGGCTCGACACAGCGGCTCGGCAGCCAGGGTTGCTGTCGAGAGTAGCACTGGAGAGGCTAGGCTTGGAGACGGCCGCTGCCACGTCAGCACTCGCATCACTCACAATTTCCCCCATTTCCCCGCGCTCCGCCAATACCCCCGCGCGTTCCGCCGCTTCCGCCTGCAGCTCCGCCTGAAGCGCCGCCTGCGTCTGCTCCAGCGCCTGCTGCACCTTGTTGAGCAGCGCGAGCTCTTTAGCGCGTACGGCGCCGTGCCTCTTAACGAGGCGCGCGAGGGCGTCCTCGAGTGTGCTGACGTCCATCATGACGTCAGATGACGGACGACGGGCGACGGGCGAAGCTGACAGGCGACAGGCAGAGGCGAAAATTGAAAGAGCGAGGCGATGAACTGGCGACGCGACGATGGCCGACGACAGGCGACAGGCAGAGGCGAAAATTGAAAGAGCGAGGCGATGTACTGGCGACGCGACTTTGGCCGACGACAGGCGACAGACGCTTCGTGGGCTCGCGAAAGTGACTGGCGAGAGCGCGACAGCCACTAGGCGATCGATGAAGCAAGGGCGGCTTGCGGTAGCGATCCAGTGCCAGAGTCGCAACAGGTACCACCAGAATGCTCGCTGTTCCTCTGTAGGGTGAAGGCTGTGTGGGCGAGGGCGGGAGTGTTGAAATAGGGCTTGCACGCAAATGTTCCATAAGGTTCAATGGCGCTGTTCGCCAGCACATTTGAAAGCAAATGTGGCCGTATAACGACGGGATCAGGAAGGTGGGTCTCGCCTTCCTGATCCCGTCAGTTAGGGCGTGTTAAATCGCCAACGTTGATTTTTCGACTCCCAACGTCGGGCCGAGTTGGCGAAAGAAACCCCATGATGAAAATCGTCAATATTGTCGCATTCTTCTTCTTTTCGCAAAAAAAAATAACGAATTTGATGGCCGTACATAAAGTCGACCAATTGGTCGTCGTCGCGTCGACTTAAAAACGGCCTCTCATCCGTCGCGTCGTTGCGACAGCGTCGCAATAAATCGCAAACCGTTTGCGACAGGGTTGCGACAGACTGTATTATGTGCGCGACTCCGTCGCAAAATTTGGCCACCCCCAATTTAACAACTGTCCTAAAGCGGCCTGCAAATCGGCCACCAAAGTTGTTAAATCGCCAAAACTGTAAATGGTGGCTGTAAAAGAGTCTACCCTGATTCGGCCACCTCGTCGTTGTTCGCGAAAAATATGACGACCATTTGGTCGTTGAAAATGCGGCCACACCCAATTTTCGGAATCGTGCGGGAATTTAACACGCCCTTAGGGTTCGTTAAAGCTCCAGTATACATTTGTCAGGGAGGTTTCGGGTTTTACAGCGTGCCTTACAGTTTGGGGGCAACTTTTCAAGTTCCTAAGGATTTTGAACCCCTCCTTTCAAATGTATACCGAAGCTTTAAGCTCCGTCAGCATGGTCAGCCTAGGATGCCGTCCGGCCCAAATTGAATCTTTGGGTCTTGGCGAACGCCCACACTTTTCTCAAACTTCAGAAGCCACCACGGCATTCGGAAGTGGGGAAGCAATTTCCTTCCCGGGCAAACGAGAGTCCCATGCCATCCCATGGCAATCCACCATTTCACGGTGGATTGCCGTGGGATGGCGATGTCATTGGCTGGAAGGTGGAAGGTGGGGTGGCTGGTTCCATATGCGGTTGTCTCGTTTCCCGTTTCGGGGCAGGAAATTTCGCGCGTGGCATTTCACCCAGTCTTCTTCGGAGGGTTCCGGCCCCGCTTCCAGATGCCGTGGCCATTCCGATGGCGTCGATTTTCTTCCAACGTCAAATGTGCTGGCGAACACCGCCAATGTTACACGTGTAATTGGGCAAGCGAGCGAGGATTGCATTATCGAGTAAAACTACGAGGGTGAAGAATCCATGTGGGGGAGTTTGGGTAGCGGGCGCAAAAATGCACGAGCTCTCAATCTGACATGCATGCATGCGACTGGGGATATCGCGCGCACCTGCTGCCCTGCAGTTGCTGCTCGCATCGTCGTTGGAAGGGTAGTTCAGCCTACCATGATAGCATCGAGGCGCCATGCCAGGTTCTAATGCTAGTTGGACATACTATTCGAATGTTTCTTCCGAGTCGCCTTCGTTCTTCCTGCTCTAGTAGCCTTCTTCCTTGTTTGTATTATCATCGTTCCGATGTCCACTTATCCTCGTGAGTTTCTCCTTCACTTTCTTCTTCTCTCACCACCTCGCCACTTAGCTCGCTTCCGCGGCTACCGTTATTTATTCCTTACCGTTGTTGTGTCTCAAGGAGCCACGGAAGTCATCACATCATCAGGGTGCCCCGAACCACAGAGACAGCAAACCCCGCGACCTCCCAGAAACACATGTTTGCGATGACGAGCAAAACGCCAGTCGTGCCCCTCTCCCAGCGTCCCTTGGACGCCTTGCTCGTGCTTTTCTTCGCCGTCTACGCGTTCAGCACCGCCGTCGTCGCGAAGGTGCTGCTGCCGCCACGCGCCCTCCTCGCAGAGGCGTTACGCGATGCCGTGTTGTGGCCGGGGTCCCCGAGGGATTTTCTCGTTGGTAAGTTGTTCCTACCTTTTTTAAGACGAATATATAATCATGTTGCCGCGTGGCCGCTTCTTATAATCCTTATGTCGTGTTGTGCGGTGGTGCATGTGGTTCCCCCCTTTCATAGCCTGTGAAGTGCTGCTGCTTATACTTCGGTCTAATTGCGCCTGCTCTGCTGCTCTCAAATAGATCCCCTCTTTCCTCCCCCCTCCATCTGCACCCTCGCTGTTCCGCTTGCAGCCTGGTTCCTGCCATAACCCTTCTTGAGACGATGTTCCCATTTCTTCCTCAATGCGACCTTTTCTTCTGCTTCGGCTCTTCTCCTTTTTCTCCCGCATCTCCTTTCCTCTCCCTAGTGTCCTTCCTCCGTCTGGACTTCTATTGTTCGTGTTTCAAACTCACCCTAGCTCTGGTTTTTCTCCTTTGTGACCTTGCGATAATACTTGCAAGTTTTCTCTTTCTGATATCACCTGCCTCCCTTCAATCTAGTCTCTCCCTCACCTCCTTCCACCCGCGTTGCCCTCCCCATCCCCGATTTCTTCTCTTCATAGCCTGTAAGCTGCTGCTGCACATGACCTTCTGCCTCGCAGCTATCTTCGCCTTCTGCTTTGGTGAGTCATGCTGAGTGCTCGTGTTGTTCATGTTCTTTCTCACACGAGATTTGAGATGCTTTTTTGCCTTCTGATCAGGCAGGCCATGCTGCTTGGTAGGTGATGATGAGTCATGCAGATGTATGTGTCAGAAATAGCTCGCAGGAATGAGTGAACTAGAATGAAGTTGGGTACAAATATGAAACCCTAAAGGGGGCTATACCCCATATTGGCTACCCCACTACAGCCTACACATATATGTTACATATATAATTTGACACACCCCCATAGGCAAAGTGGGGGAGAACAAGGGGTCACAAGACCAGTCAAGCAAAGCAAAGCAAGCTCAGGGTGGATCACAACGTCACCACACACACTGAGCACAAGCAAAGGGCCACAAGGCTGGTCCACATGCAGAGGTATATATGCAACAGGAACAGCACAGTGATCACCACCTAGCAAGAGCAAGCATGCAGGTATATGTATATAGATCACAGTACAAGCAAAGCCTACAGCAAGTGTGGAAACGTAGGTACAAGGCCTAACAAGGTACAAAAACGCTGATGATCACCAGACGGAAGTGCCTTGGTGAATATATCAGCGGTGTTGGCCCGCGTGGCCACGTAAGCAAGACGAAGCTAACCACGCTGCTGCAACTCTCGAGCTAGGAAGTAACGCAGAGCGATATGCTTCGTTCTGTGCTCTAGTCTGTGCTCCTCACACAAGGCAATGGCCGCCTTGTTGTCAACGTACAGAACTGGAGGAGAACGAAGCCGCTCTCCCAAGTCAGTCAGCAGGTAGGTGAGCCAGCGTAACTCCTGTGCAGTCATGGCTGTGGCATAGATCTCAGCCTCACAACTGGAGCTGAGAACAGAAGACGAGCGTGTAGACCGCCAAGAAACAGAGCCAGAGCCAAGACTGAAGGTGTAGCCCTGTGACGACCGCTGCGTAGCCTGGTCGTCAACCCAAGATGTGTAAGAGTGCCCAGTGAGGACAACGTCACCCCGTCCTCCAAGCACGAGCCCCATGCCCGATGTACTGCACAGGTAGCGCAGTACCCTCTTCGCAGCTTCCCAGTGCACCTTTCGGTGCCTACCAGGAGCCACGTAGCGAGCCAGAAGGCCAAGAGGGTACGCAAGGTCAGGTCGAGTGTAGGTCATCAGGTACATGAGGCAGCCCACTAGCTCTGGGTAAGGACCACTCGGCTCTACGGACTCGTCCGAAGGTGGAGCTGAGAGCGAGTGACCTATAGCCAAAGGAGTGGACTGTGGAGAGGACCAGGTGAAGCCGAAGCGCTGAAGGATCTGCTGCACCATGTGTGACTGAGACAGTGTGATGGTGTGGCGTGCTCTGTCCCGGGTGATCTGCAAGCCAAGGTAGCTGCGCAGCTCACCCAGGTCTGTACACGTGTGTCTCTTCTGCAGCTCCGACTTCACCAGGGCGAGAGCCTCAGTGTCAGCAGTGGCAAAGACCAAGCGAAGTGTCGGTGCGCAGAAACAGCGACGGGTCAGCAGTCGAAGGAGCAAACCCAAGAGCCGCAAGTGTAGTCCTTAGTGTGTCGTGCCACTCACGAGGCGCCTGGCGGAGACCGTAGACTGGCCGCCGGAGGCTCCACTAAGTACCAGGAGGGAACGACCCAGTGAAGCCAAGTGGGCGGCGCAGCCAGATCTCCTCGTGCAGGCTGCCCTGTAAGAAGGCTGTGCTGAAGTCAAGAGAGTGAAGCTCGTAGTCACGCTGAGCGGCAACGTGCAGCAGCACCCGAAAAGTGGTCATCTTCGGGGTGGGGGAGAAGGTTTGGAAGAAGTCAACTCCCTCTTGCTGACTGAAGCCTCGAGCAACGTAGCGAGCCTTGAAGACAGGCGGAGAACCCGACGGTTGCTTCACCCTAAAAATCCACATGCCATCGACGTAAGTGCTTGTGGACTTCCAGGATGCCATCTCTGCGTCCATGGCTGTCTGCCACTGAGAGGAGTACTCACCCGCGATCGCCTCAGCGTAAGAGCGCAGGGTCGGGATGTCTAGTGCATCCGGGTCTCCCTCAGGGGCAAGCAGCATGGCCACGAGATGAGGCGCAACGGCTGCAAGACACTCAAGGTCCTCGTGCCTGTCCTCAAGGACGTCAGTGCCAAGAGCACACTCACCCCCGACGGACGGAGGATAGACAGACTCAGACTCAGCAACAAAGCTAGCAGCGTAGTCTAGACGACAGGCAGCAGCAAAGTTAACAAGCTCAGTGACCAAGGTAGACGCACCAGCAGACTCAAACGACGGGTCAGTGACAACGGTGGCCAGTAGACGCGTGACAGTAGGGTGCTCAGCACGAAACTGGTCAGACTCAGGGTCCGGAACGTCAGGCAAAGAAGACGCAGGAGGAGACGGCAGAGGAATACACTGTGGAACTAAGGAAGGACGAAGTGTCATAGTGTGCGTGCCAGGGACAGGAGGAAGATGCTCACGACTAACACGACTAGTGCGACCAGTGCGACCAGTGCAAACACGAAGACAGGACGGGACGCAGGCTCGCGACGCTCAGTAAGACCTCCTGGCTGCTCAGTGTAAGGAGAGGGAGCAGGCAGAGGGGAGCCTGGCTGTAACGGAAGGCCAGTGGAAGACGGTAGCCTAAGAACCTGGCGCATGGATTAGGAAATACGAGCGACCTCCATGACTAAGCCAATGCGGCGCTCAGCAACCCCATTCTGCTGCGGAGAGGCCGGAAGCGTGAACGACTGGCGGATGCCGTGCTCCTCACAGAAAGCTCGCAAGAGGTCGGAGGAGAACTCACCACCTCTGTCAGAGTGCAGACGCAGGACAGGAAAGTCCGAGTGGAACCGCTCACGGAGCTGGAGACGAACAGCGCGGATCCAGGGGATCAAAACATCAGGGACCTGACCCTTGCTGCGCAAGGGGAAGACCGTGGTGTAACGCGTGTAGTCGTCGACGACGAGGAGGAAGTATCGCTCGCGGCCCTGCCCCTGGACGCGGGCTGGGCCCCACATGTCCAGGTGGAGAGTCTGCAGTGGAGCCTCTGTGGGAGGGAACGAGGAGGAGTGAGGAGCAGCGCGCTGCCGCCCCTCGACACAAGGAATGCAGGGCGGCGCAGGCTAGTGTGGGAGAGCGGGCAGAGACCTGGGAAGACCAGAAACCAGGAAGCGAGAGTGCATGCCACGAAGGCGAGGCAGGGAGGGGTGACCAAGGCGGTGGTGCCAGAGGAGAGTCTGGTGCGACAGACGGCGACACTCACACTGGGTAGCTACCTGAGCGGACGCGTACAGCTGAGGAGACACAGGGGTGTAGCGCAACATAGTGGTGAGGGTGTACAGACTGGACCCTGGCGCACGTGTGAACGTGGCCAGGTGGCGGCCAAACCTAGAGCACGTACAGATCGCCACACGCTGTCCTCCAGGAGTAAAGGTGTCAACCCAATGATCCTGAAGGACGGCGTTGCTCACCAGGTTCGTGGAAAACGAGGGGATGTGGAGACCTGACAGCTCACCGGACGGGACCGCCGGACACGGGAGCACAGTACTGGACCGTGCAAGCACTGGGCCCCCAGAGGGGTCAGCCAGTGAGACAAGGACAGGTGCAGGGAGGGGAGTGACTGTGGTGCTGTCGCGAAAGAAACAGCGGGAAGCACCTGAGTCAAGCGTGAAGGTGTGCAAGGCCTCAGCAGGCGCAGTACCAGGGAGAGCAGACTCACTAGCACCTAGGGCTGCAGTCTCTATATCCGAGTCAGGCGGGACACACAATTAGCAGTCACCCTCAGCACTAACAGTCAATGCATACATGGCAGCAAGGATTGCATCATAGTCAAGATCAAAGATAGGAACATCACGCCTAAGTAGATCTGCCCAGTTGGGGAACTCAGTGGCATCAGGAAACTTGGCGCGCCAGGCGTCGCTAAGCCTAGCGAAACAGCGGTACTCAGTGTGAAAGCCGTTGCATGGGCGACCAGCGCGGGGACCGGCGCGAATGACATAGGGGCAGCGACCAGGACCCCCAGACGCCCCACGCCGAACGTACCAGTCATGAAGCTGCTGAGACGTGGGGGTCTGGCGCTGACGCTGCTGCTGCTGCTGCTGCCCATGGTCACCACTGGAGCTCCCCTTTGGGCTGGCCGCACTCAGCCCCCACCTCCGACACCACCACCGCTGCCTCCTCCCCCACTACCGCCGCTGCCACCTCCACCGCTCCCGGTCCCACCGCCGCCCCACCCACCTCCTCCACCCCCACGACCACCCCCACCACCTCCACCACCCCCGCCGCCTCCACCACCGCCCCCTCCACCGCCACCTCCACCACCCCTGCCACCCTTGCCGCCCCTGGTGCCGCTGCGCTTCCCACTAGGAGCGGAAGCAGCTGCGACCTTCTCAGCACCGAGGAGGTCGACGGCAGCAGCAGCAGAGGCGTAGGAGGGGGCAAGAGGGGAGGGGGAGCACCCCTCAAAGAGGGGAGTGCGAGGAGTGCCACGAGCAGCACCTACAGCGAGGATGTTCTTTTCTGCTGCTAGGAGCTGCTGCTCGAAGTCGGCTAGAGTGAGAGTGGTAGGGTCTTTGGCGAGGAAGTGGTCCCTGACTGAACTGAGAGTGTCAGGGAGGCGGGTGACGAGGATGTAGAGGGTAAAGTACAACGGGAGGGGGTTCTGGGCGAGGAAGTCGTTTGTAAGGGCGGCACGAAAGCGAGCGTCACTAGCGCGGAGGTGAGAGATAAGGTCCTCAGCGGTGGCAAACGAGGACAGGTCTGGGAACAGGTAGGGCAGGATGAGACGACCTACGGCTGCAGTGGCTGGGGACGAATAGCGCGCAACTACAGCGTCATACAGTGCCTTAGCAGTCTTGTGCTGGCTAAAATGCGCGCGCTCAGTGATCGGCAAATGGTTGCGAATAGCGAGGCGCGCAGCAGCATCGCGAGTCTGCCACTGTGAGCGGTCAAGAGCGGGAGCAGTGTCAGCAGGAGCAACAGCAATGCCAGACGCGTGATCGAACAGTGAAACGCCGTCTTTTGTATTAGTCATAAGAAACAGT